AAGCTCGAAAACGACGCGGCTCCCTCCCCTATCAGATCGAGAGTAAGAAATACCGAGCAGTCAAGCTTTTGGGACGGGCGACCTCCGCCTCTGTCTTCCGGCAGGAAAACAGGGGAAGGATGCCGTATGTAAACCAAAAAAAACGGTTTCAAAAAAAATCAGCCAATCTTCTTAGACAAAAAGTTTAAATTAGATAAACCTCAAATAAAAAACTCCTAACATTCGTTTCAGTTTGCTGTTTCAAAAAGCCTCTTGGTAGTTTTGAAAAAAACCTGATGTTTATTGAAGCTTCTAGGTTTTGCCCAAAGACGTCGTGTAATAATAATAACAGCATGACTTTATATTTAAAAGAGACACCATTAACCTTTTTCGTAGGAACAAAGCACAGGGTATGATTTCCTAAGTTGAAAAAGCGATATGATAGTTTACTCATTGGAGAGTTGGGTTAAAAAACAATCGGAAGGTGGGTTCCTCCAGTGGATGTTTGCGTGAAACTACAGCTTGCCTAACAGCTTGACAAGCCAAAGCGGACCACACACAGCGCCGACCCCGGTCCCAGAGGTAAGGAAGAATCCGGTCTCAAGGTTCGAGCAACGCTCTGCAGGGAAACCCGCTGTTTGAGGGCTTGATAGCCCACTCCCACCTCCACCAACCGCCTCCACCCGACTCGTAAGGCGCGGACCCTTTTCCCCGCGTCTTTTACGCGGCTAAACGGCGGATAGGGTGTAGGGGCGGTCTTGGGAAATTTGGGCCATCGGTCACTGCTCAAGAGCAAGTGCACTTCTCCCCGGAGACCACGTGATCAGATTGATATTCCTCAAACAGAAAAAGTCTGGAAGGGACAATGTAGATGTGCAGTGTAATTTAGAGAGGAGCCTTTCGTGTAGGTGTTCGGCGGCGGTTAAATGGGAGCGGCCTTTGGAGCTTGAATTTAATTGGCCGGGTAACCCATTACATTAGAAATATTGCTTCTTACGTGACTTGGAAATTATTGGCCTACCTTCGATATTCTGTGTTAAGCTAAAAAAAATGCTGTAAAAGAATGCTGTTTTTCAACGAGAACAGCCACCTGCTTGCCACCTTTGTTATTTCCCCGTTGGTGCCATTGGGACATAACTTGGCACTTTTCATTTACGGCTTTCAGAAGCTGTAAGCTAACAGTTGGGCAACTGTTTCATAAATGAAAACAAAGTTTCGTCACCACATCGTTTGAGTTTCATTTTGTCCAGGCATTTGGCCCAATTTTCTGTAGGACTTCTGCCTTGTCTAGTCAGGAAAGCGCATATTATGTAAATTGATCTTTCAGTTTCTTCAAGTTGAAATTAAATTTGCAATTCCAAGTCAAATGGAAACACTCAACAAAGATGGTCACCAAAGATTCGACACTGGTCGCCTTGTAAAGAAAATCTTTCAGCAAGGAAATGGATGTCAAGTGTTAATCGCAATCGTACGTCGAATCGCGTACGTGGCTGGAATATCGTCGGATGATATAGTCGTATCGTCGAGGCTCAATATCGTGTGATAGTATCGTATCGTGAAGATTAGTTGTATCGCTTACAGCCCTGAAATATATACTTAAGGCCGGCACTCGTTTCCCATAAAAAGCCGTCTCAGTTGTGGCTGCCTGCACCGCCATCCCTTGCGGTCCAGACCTGTATGCGAGCGCAAAAAGTCCTCAAATTCCGCTCTTAAAAAAAAACTCTTTCCCAAGTTTTTTGGCGGAGGACATTATGCCCATGGCCCTCGGGTTGCCTGGAATACTGTTGTCGTCATGACGTTCGAGCTTTTCTCGGAGCGTTTAGCTCCAAGAAGACAGCCTTTGGCAGCACGCAGTTTTACGTAAAGCGCCAACAGGCGTCACTATATAACAGCGATTAACAGATGCCCATATTGTAACCAAAATGGCGTTTGTGGCTGAATTTTATTTGTCATGAGATGTTTACTTTTGATGTTATTTGAGTTTAGTTTCTTGGTCGTTGGGGGAACACTTTCGCCGGTCTGGCCACATCTTTTTCGTATTTCCTGTATGGTCATTTCCGCTTTCCCCTCACAAAGTTGAAGTGCAGTGCTGCGGAGGGGTAAGCTGCTGCCTGGGAGAGGGTTCAAAAATCAGTTCTCGGGGTTTTGTGTGATGGACGGTGTGTTGGCCGCTTGGATCGGAAGTGGATGTGTGTTGTTGAGTGTTACATTTGGGGTGCCTTGTTGACGCCGCTTTTTTGTTTGGTTTTCACCGGTGAGGAACAGAGTAGGAAATTTTTATTTTTAGTGATATCTGTGGTGTGGTTTGGGAGGGAATTAGACGCGGATCTGCGTCATTTTCTTTGGTACTGTTAACCCTTCCTTTCTTTTCTTTGTGTAAAGATGTGCAGCGTGGAATTTAAGGAGGGATATGTGTCTTGTTCTCAAGGTAGGTTTTGTGTGTTGTATTTTTGGTGTGATTACGTTGATAAGATTTTCTTGTTCATTTCTTATCTATAAATACTAAAGATGACATGGAAGTGAGGCCTGCGGGAGGATGTGCGCGTTAGGATGTTTAAGGGAGAATATTGTGTTTTTGTTCTCAGGGAATAAACGCCAGAAAAAGACCTAGATGCGTCGCTGTGTTTCCTGATCGATACAGTCGCTTACGGTTGTGGACCCGGTTACACGGGTGCCGTGACCCTCTCGGATCGTCAGATCAGCTTGAGGCTCATCGCCGCCGGATGCGTGAGATATCCTGGATTCTTCAACCTCAAGGTTTACTGTAGTGTTAGTGTGGGAAGGAATGTGGTGTAGGTGTTCATGTTTACATTGCCGTCTTAGTTCAATTACGCAGCTGTCTTTCCATGTATGCTTAATTCGATTTTATTTAAAGAAGTGTAAAACACAACGGGGCGGACTGTGGCTGCGAGGGAGTGCGGTCGTCTTTCAACCAGAAGGTTGTGGGTTCGATCCCAGCCCCTGCAGTCAACATGTCGATGTATCCTTGGGCAAGATACTTAACCCTGAGTTGCTCCCGATGGCATGGCCAACGGTGTGTGAATGTGTGTGAATGTTAGGTCCTAGAGTAAGGTACACTGCTCTGTATGAATGGGTGTGAATGGGTGAATGACATGTAGTATGTAAAGCGCTTTGAGGGGTCTTAAAGACTGGATAAAGCGCTATATAAGTACAGTCCATTTACAACGCTAGTACATTTTATGATCAACAGTCTCGACAGTGAACATGGAAAATTCATTTTCAAGTCCTATTTTGCCAAAAGGAAGTGGTGCTTGGCTTAGTGACCTTGCTAGTAGTAGGGAAGTGGGACATTCAACAGCTAAACCGGATGGTTATGCTGACACTGGGTTGGGTCAGAGCCCTGGTTATACCCCTGCTAGAGTGTCTGTAAGGGAGGGTCCATATACTTCCACCCCTGGTAGTGATGTAGAAGCCATTCATCATTTAACAGACATGGTAGGACAGTTAGGAGCACAAATCGGTGAATCTATTGTAGCAAAGCTGATGTCAGCTGGTGTTGTAAACATGAATACTGATTGTAATGCTGCTTCTGTGAATAACAATACACAATGTGAGACTACCAGACATGACATCCCACATGTGACAGTACATGTTAAACCTGACAGAGAGTTACAGAAATTCAAAGGTGACAGTACTGACAAACTCTCAGTCCACGACTGGATTGATGTTATTAAGATCTACATCAGAAAACAAGGTGTTCCGGTGCAGGACCTGTCTGAGGAAATAATTAGTCATCTGATGGGCAAGGCCAGAGACATTGTGAAGATTTCCCTGCGCAGTAATGCAGCGCTTGATGTAAAGAATAGACCAGAACTGATATATGACATTCTTCTTCAGTATTTCAGTGATGTTTCCTCATGCCTTCCCCTTGCAGACTTTTATGCCACAATGCCTAAG